GCCGTCGACCTCCACGGTGCATGGATGCGTGTGACCCGTTCTTGCAAGGGCGGACACCAGTGTTGCATCGCAGCTCATCGCAGCACAGCGCTCCTCCGTTGGCGGTGGCCCCGTAAACGACGAGGTCGAGGCGGCGGCGGTCGGCATTGCTGCGGCACGACTTGACCTTCGGCTCGGACGGTGTCTCGCGCCACGCGGACCCAAGCGCGCTGTCTGGCCAACAAGCCTGTCCTCGGGAACGTGTGTCGGGGGTTCCTGTCGCCCGGCCTGCTATTTGACAGGGGGTAGGGGTGGAGAACATATGGGTAACAAGAAAAGTAGTCGGAGGACCGCACAGCAGTCCCGGACAGCAGGGACGGAGATGTATTCGAAATGGCGCGCCTCGAGCGAATCTCATCACAAACAAGGGCCGCTTGATGCACACCCACATTCCGAAAGTGTCAAATGCCGCCGCAAATGGGACGACCAATTCGTATGAAATTCATTGCCACGCCGAATCTCTCCAAAACCGTCGCAAGCTGTCGCCCAATCCAACCCCAGGAGCATAAGAGAAATTTGTCTGCGAAGCAACGAATATATTGCATCCGAACTCCCCTATGCGCGAGCGGAAACCGACTTTCGCACCATGCCCCCCCTCGGCGTGGGCGGCATGCGCCCGGGGACATGACGATGCTATCTGGACGACGCTGCAGAAGCTGCTCGGAGGAGCGGGCGACGCAAACGCTGCCCATCACGGCAAGTTGCTGCCCTGCCTGGGGCGCTGGGCGGCCGCGGATTGCAGTGCAGTCCACCGAGACCACGGCGCCTGCAGCTTACTGGGCCCTTGGGCGGACGCGTTGCCTGCCATACGTGCACGCCTGCCTTTGCGGCGACCATGCCCTCGCCATCAACATTGGCGGTAGCGGAGGGGGGCAAAGAAAGCAAGCTGGGAGCAAAAGACCTAGCTGCGGCAACCGACACGAACGCCGACCATCGCCCAAACACGGCAGCGACTGTTGCTGCAAGTGCAGAAAGCAACCGGGCCGCGGCTTGCCGGACGTTGCTGCAGGGATCGTGATCCTTTGACGGCACTCCGGAAAGTCACTGTTCCACGGAGTCGTCGTCCTCGGGGAGCCATCGGCCACGCAGTTTGCAAAGACCCGTAGTGTAACATGTTGTGCTGTTACAAAAAGTCAAGTCAAACCTGAATGCCCGAAGGCTGCCCATACCAACGGTCATGCATGTTCTGTGCTAGGGAAAATGTATACGCTACAAATGTGTGCCTCTCATAATCGGCAAAAAGCATCAAAGTTGGAGAAATCGTCTCGCCACGAAGATCGAGCAGCTTCTTGGGTCCTGCAATAAGCAACCAGTTTTTCATCCCACATCATTTTCGCACGGCCGGGTTTTGCACGGCTAGGGAGATCCCACTGCAAAACACGTTTGACCCAGCGATGGCTTGGTAGTAATGCAATGTATGAAGCAAGTCGCCAGTAATGACGCAAGCACTGTTTTGACCATGTTTCGATGCCAACGCATTCACATTAGTGTCGGACGCGCTCATTCCATGAATGTAAAATTTGGTGCCATGGCAAACTCCAATCAACTCCACCGGGTGGTCCAACTAAACGTCGCAGCAAGCGGCGGAATTCGACATCCATCTTGTGTAAATGCTGTGTGTGCACTGCACGATGTCCAGAAGCAAAGCATGCCACAGGCGATACCACAGCTTGGAAATACTCCAAACGATGCGCCAACGAGACATTCTTGTCGCATAATACCCATTTATGTTTCCAACATGCTTTGGAAGCATTTTGCAAATGGAAATCCAAGTCTGCTTTCACTGCGTCCGACGTC